AGATCCACCAACACTCATGGCAGCATTGACAGCGTGGTTCAAACGACTGGCATAAGGTCATATGAGCGCGTGTGAAAAATTAAACATGTTCAATTTGTAGGAAATTTTGAATTTTGCCCGGGTGGCGGCCAAAGTCTACTCTTATGGATTTTAAACCACCAGTGGATCTTTAACGTGTGCAACTTGCACACGGGACCTCCGAGATTTTTCGCCCTTGTCCGAGAAGGCTAGGTGTAGATTCTTTCCTACCAGAAAATCAGGGGTGTGGGTGAAAGACAGCAGTAAGGAGGAGCCAAGGAGTAGCAGTAGAAAGGCTGCAAAAAGAGTCAGGAGCCCAGAGGAGAGGGCACAGGGGGTGAGGGGGTGGAGATAGAAAGTGGAGACGAAAGCAGACTACAGAACATTGCTAGAGAGAAGGAAAGAAGATGAATTTTAGAGAAGAATTTTTTTCGGTCTCTACCCGGATTCGAACCCAGGCCCTTTGAATGAGAGGCGAACACCTTAACCTCTTAAGTCATGAGAGCCCCCTTTTTCTCATTCTTTAGCTAAAACTCTGATGAAGTTTGAAAAAGCACACTGGCCTATTTCCCCCCGTGAAGAGACAGAACAGTGTTAATTAAAAGAGACGTTCGTAAATGCAACAGTTCCACGGGACAGGGACAGAGGGCACCCTGAAGAAGACGGGCTCGTGCCATTATCGATTAACTGGAGACAAGTCACTAGGCTAGAGTTACAAAGTTCTATCTGACATTTTTGGACGTTTTGAGTTACTAAAACCAAGAGGTCAGAGATCAAACGTTCCGTCTGTTCTACGTAACTTGATAAATTGTTCAGAATCGTTATCAATATAGATATATCTATTCAAGGAACTGCATTCGAAAAAGCTTGAATTGTTCTGAAGCTTTCAATATTTTACGGGAAATTTCTCAAAACTAGGTTCTGAGCAGATAGAATTTTATCATTCGAAGGTAGGGAAGCGCCACTGAGTCGGAACGCAAGGCTATGGAAGGATTCTAACCCCCGACGCACCACCATTATATTTTGTTATCATTCTTTTCTATCGCCGCCATTTCAACCACAATCACGACAATCTGTGATCACAGACCTTGACCTTGACCATCAATGATTTATTTAAAGAGGCACCAGCCATCCATGTCCAGGTGCTGTCTTGGCCTCTTTTTCCTGTCTGTGGATTAATAATCTTTTTTTTGCCAATTTATTGGTTCCGCTTCTATGTACCCCATATCTATGGTTTCGAACCTGGACATCGCCTATAATTCACTGTAATTGCTCCACCCCCC